GAGCTTAACAAGAGGAGGTAGAGTGATTAAAAGTTCCTTCTTGTACTTGTGAAAATGAACCTTTCTTTCAAGCTGATTTCACAAGAAATCATTTTCAGGAGCTTTTTTTTTGACATGTTTGATGAGTTACTGATATAGCACTGAAAAGCCTAAAAGCTTTTAAAGTGCTCCTTAGTACAACTGAACAAGCTCCAGTGCAATTCAGTGGCCCAATCTATTGTTTGGGATCTCCAGCAAAGGGCTGGTAATCCATGAACTGGTACAGCTGTCCAAAACCAAAGTAAGTGTGCCCAGCAGGGTTTTGTGTGGAAAACGGTGAGTCTGGAGGAAGGATGAACATTAAAACGCTCTGTGTTTTGTGCAAGTGCCCATCTCAATTAAATCAATGACATAACTTATAGCCAGTGGCTTCTATATAATGGTTTGCTTATTGAAAAAGACTGCTTGGCATTAGGAACCAGCACTGGTTCAAGGAAGGAAATGACATTGATGTAGGGTTCCATGGGTAGTGGCCTACCATCCATTTCCTGCCCTCTCAAGTTCTGTATCTTTTTTGTTTTCACAGCAGCCATCACTTAACAAAATATTTGTTTTTATACCTAAAGCTTTCCTTAATTAGGCAAACATCTGATCCCATTTCAAGAAAAACACTTCACCACCACTTCACTGGAAACAAGCACATACTTAAGAGACCTCTATTTGAAATACCTACTTTTCTTGATCAGCACAATTCTCTGAATTTCTGTAAATTTCCAATCCAATGTGACAGCTGAAGAGATGAGGGATAGAATGGAGAGGACCACAGTTTGAGGACTGAAGGTGATACGCAAAAGCTGTAGCCAAGACCACTAAATGATAAAGAGAGCAAGACAAGACTTACAAGAAAAGATAACCTACTTTAACCCACCCAAATTAATTGCAGATGAATAGGCAAGTTTTGCAATGCAGGCTCTTGTCCAAGTCACTTGAAAAAGGTCCTGAAAATGTAACTAGAACAGTACTCTGCCTGAGAGCTTGTCTATTTTTTTTCCAACCATGTCAATTAATCTAACAAAAGCCTTCTTGTATGGATTTTGCTTTGATGTTATGTGAAAGGAGACAGAATGATCTGCAGAGAACAGAGGATAGAATAACCCAGGATCACCCCAGAGCCAGCAGGAAACATGTCCTCACAACTGAAGACACAGGACAGAGCAGGTTTACCCACACACAGTCCTAGAAAGGCATGGTGTCCACAGAGGGAAGAAGGAGAGCACCAGCCTCAGGGCATCGGATGATCTAGAATGGGGCTCTGGCTCTGGGATGTAGTGCAGGCACTTCAGGATAGCAATTCTAGCTGAAGATTTCTGTACGGCTGACAAAGGCAGTCACACAAACACCCAAATCCTGAAAGTCCTTCACTAACAAATTTCCTTTGTCACTGGGTCCTACTGGTGCTAAACCCCGCAGCACTCTGAAAGTGTATCCTTCGTAATTATACAGGGCAAACTAACATGATAAGCCATGCAATCTTTCTAGGAAACATCAATTTCCTCTTCTCAGCTCTTTTCCTGTTTCCACTCTTCTGTTTCAGCACCTGCCTCTTCAGATTTTCTGGTCAGCCTACTTTGACTTTGTTGGCCTCTTTCCTGCAGCCCACCTGGGCAAGCAGTGACAGCTAATCCACACCTGAATAAGGAGGGAACCATCACCTAATTCTGTACTTAACCAAGCCTTTTCACCTAATTTGTCACCTCATTTGCTGCCCTGATGAACACACAACCCACCCCTCAGCTTCTCCCCTGTCCAAATCAGCTGCTGCCTCTCTAGGCTCCTGTCTCCTTCTCTTAGCCTAACTTTTAAATTATTCAGGATTAGTTTGGGTTGAGGTTTAAGTCTTCAGGAAATTAGCCATAGTCTGATGAAGACAACATGATTGTCTGTTCCCCATTAAGATCTCATGTCAAGTGCTCCTGGTGCTCTCCTCAGATAACCTGAATAAGATAATCATTGTAATTTTCCCCTTCCTGTTTTCCCCCTAGTCTTCTGCATAGATACTAACAGTATTCTGTTTGCTAAATTAGGAAACTTATTTTTCAGAGTGTACCTTTCTTTTCTACGGACTGCTGTCCATTGTAGAGATTTGTTGTTGGAATGTTCCCAGTTCTGACCTTGAATACACTGTGGCTGTAAAGCTACTGAAAACATCAGCTTTCTACTGCCAAATGGAAATCACTACCCACTGTCAGATAAGAGATAATGAGTAATAGATAAGCAATAAAAACATTTATGGTTTGTTTTTCACCTTATATGAAGACCCTCTGGTTTTAGCTATCTTGTTAAAACTAGTATTACTCTTGAAAATTAAAATTTTAATCTGTTTAGAACAGTTTGCTCCCGAGAAAGCATGAATGAAGGGGATTAAATTATACCTGTACTAGACTTTTCTTCGTGATTCGTAATTATACTGTCACTCATGATGCTATTCATTGCACTTAGCTGCATGGAACTGGGGAAAAACATGACATTTTCCCCTGTACTAGACATAATGAGAATCTATGGCTTTTCAAGGAATCATTCATCAATGAAGTACAGAGATAAACAAAACATGGTGAAGTTGTATTTAGAACCAAGGATATTTTTTTTGCCTCGAGCCATAGTATAAAATATTCATTTTTCTCTTGGGAAATATAAATGGGGAGGTAGCAGGTGCCAGGTAACCATCCTCAGGAAATAAATCCCTGACAGGAAACAAAACGTATGTGCTTCCTGAGCACACAGACGCACACCTTTCTGCCTCTGTCCATCTTGAAACATCAGCATCTCACCTTGTAGTGTCTGTCAGTGGGGTGAACACACTTATTTTGGACCAAACTTCACTGTAGTCAAATGCATTTTCCTACTTCTCAGCTGGGATCTGTGTATTGAAAAGCTCTGGTACAAAAAGTGCTGTCCAAATGTAATGCTTCTACTAAAACCAAACCAAACAGAAACGCATCTCTTTGGCAGAGAGACACACTGAAGTAGGAAACTCAAAAGTCTGCATTTCCACGAACCACAAATTAACTTAATTTGTTGTCGAATTTGACAAAGGAACATAGTTAAGTGTGGAGAGGACTAAGTCAGTTCACAAACAGTCAAGAGTAACCACTTATGTTCTCAGCAGGCTTGTTTTTGCATTCAGGTTAAGTTCTTTGCAATCAAAATCATTCTACAAAATGAACCGTATCTCCTGCAATGTATGCTTAGGCAGAAATTTTCTAATGGATGTTGGTCTCTGCATCACAGTGTAATCCAACATTGTATGAAGTCTTTTCTTCCATTTCTAATAAATGTCAGTTTTCCTAAACACAGTACTTTGCAAAGTGTTTATGCAGAGCTTTCAACACTGACCTATAACTGGTATGCTTTAAATGCTTTCAGGAAGTTATTCTCTTGCCAGGGTCACTGTGACTTATATTTAAAAAAAACCCCCATGACATCTCCCTGGTAACAGTCTCTTTTCTCCCCTTCAACAATGTGCTGTCAATTTAAAACTCAGGAGACTTCTTCCTGCGTTATGCAAGCATAAACTTGCTTTTATCGATCAATGTAATATCAGCACACATGGAACAAGAAGATCAATGATGGTAAGTACGCACAGTTTCAAAGGAAACAGAGAAAACTGAGACAACCCAGAACAGATGCTGCAAAAATTATCTTTTTTATCAGCTAAGTGTTATAAATTGCTGTGAAAAATTCAGGGGGTGCTCATAGCTGATATTCTAAAGGAACAGCAGCACAAATTATTACACTGGCTGTACTTAATGAAGATGAAACTGGACTAGACTATCTGCTTATAATCTGTATTTGTCAGATAGACTATTCAAAAACACAGTGACAAATTAACTGCATCTTTACTGGTAACAATTGGCAGGGATGTAGGAACACAGACTGTTTAAGGAATCAATGTGTATGTTCTTACACTGTGAGGTGGTGGCGGTCAGAGGCACGGCAACTTTTTATGAGAGGAGCAAAGCCTCACAGGTGTGAAGTGAGCAACATGTTAAAACCTCTTTATCAGACTATACTGGGTTTGTGTGGCCAGGTTTTGGTCCCAGGAGGCTGCAGGGGTGGCTTCTGTGAGGAGCTGCTGGAAGCTTCCCCCATGTACAACCGGCTCTGAGGCACCCCTGCGGCTGGCCAAGGCTGAGCCCATTGGCCATGCAGGCAGCACCTCTGGGGTAAGTTAAGAAGGTAGGGAAAAGCCTGGGGGGAACAACAGCAGTTGCAAGAGGAGTGAGAATGTGAGAGAAGAGTAGACCTGCAGAGCCCCAGGTCGGTGCAGCAGGAGGGGCAGGAGGTGCTCCAGGAGTCAGAGTGGAGGTTACCCTGCAGCCTGTGGTGAGGCAGCTGTGCCCCTATAACCCCTGGGGGCCCATGGGGGTGCTGTGACCCTCATGCAGCCCTGAAGGACCCCACATCAGAGCAGGGGATTCCTGAAGGAAGTTCTGATCCCATGGGAAGCCCTGGTGGAGCAGGCTCCTGGCAGGACCTGTGGCCCCATGGAGAGACGAGCCCACACTGCAGCAGGTTTGGTGGCAGAACTGGGGACCCTGTGGGGACCCACACTGGAGTGGTAAGAAGGATCAGTGCATCCCTCAACAGCTGCCTGAGACTTCCAGGCTCCCTTTCTCTTGTTGGGCTTGGTTATCTTTCCCTCTACACCAACAAACTTCAAAGACTGCTATAAAGGTACACAACAGCCCAGTCAAACTCGGGAGGATTGACTGGACATTTGGAACCACGAGCTACTCAAAACCTTGGTTTCAGTAGAAATGCTCTGACACAGTCTAATGCCTTTCATTAGGGAAGTGTCAGAGATACTGCCATGGATTGTCAGATCAATGCAAGGTCTCATGCAACCTTTGTTATGGAATTGCTCAGACCTACCTCTTCATGCTGCAGACCACCCTTCTATTTCCAGTGCAGGGTGTACAGAGTGTGGGGTGTGTTTTTTGGAATCATTCACTACCAAGCTGTTGTACTATCCGGCACGATTTGTTCTCAAAAATTTAATGTATATTTACACTCAGTAAGACTTCAGGATTTAAAATGCCTACCCTTACACAGAAGTACACAATGCCTCATTTACTTTGTCACAACAGCTTTTTCGTATACTTCAAATTTGTACTGGATCCCATTCTCTTCCTGGATATCAGCAGGGACACCTGGGTACCTGGGGAGAGAGGAGACGAAAAAGCAAAAGCCAAAAAGTAGATAAAAATGTCATGATGATTCACCTGTAATTTATCCAATCAACTAGAAAAGCGAGTTGTTTGGAAAAGGAAATGAAAATACTGTGCTTAGAACAGGTATACTACATAAAAACTGTTTTTAAGAATCATATTAATACTATCTGCAACTTGTACACACATCTTTTATATCAAGAAAGCATACTCTGGTGCAAAACAATCCCCCCATTTTTGGCTTAATCAAAAAATTCCCAACATTTTTATTAAAGTCTCCAACATGTTATTCAAAATGTCTGCCAAGGTACAGAACACTTTGGCGTGTTTTTTTGCTTTGCTTTTCCTCAAATGGTTTAGAAGAAATGTTAAGGACAAGGTTTCTTAAAAGTCTGCAATAGATTCTTAAAGCAGCTGACTGCTACCACAGAAAGAGTTCCTCTATATACCAGATTTTCTAAACCAGTTTTTATTAAGAGACACTTTCAAAAATCTTTTCATCTCCCTGTGACAGAACAAGGATTTTGTATGAGCAATATTGACTTTGAGGGAGAAGTACGTTTTAAATTTTATTTGCTAGGTGTGATGGTGTCAGGTTTCCACTTTAGTGAGGAGATTGCCTCATACTTTATAAATTCATGTTGCAAGGCCAAACTCTGATTTCAGTTCACTGGCCAAAACCAATGTACACCCGAGGAACAGCCACGAGGGAGAGAGGGAGCTTTGGGTCAGACCTCAGGACACGGAAGTGAATGCAGAGCAGCTCAGAATATGCTGGAGTTGGTGACTCATCCTCCTCACCCTTCACCTTGTTTGCCTCTCCTGCATCCCTTTTCCCTAGCTTCCCCAGTGCTGTGCTAATCCACTCCTGGGCCCTCTGAAGAGACCTTCACTCTCCACACTTCAGGTTTCTTCCACTGCTGGTCTGCAACCAGTTGGGAGCCAAAACTATAAAAGGAGGAGGAACAGGTCCTGTCGTTCCTGGCTCTTGAGGCAGGTGTCTGAATTTTTGCTGCCTCCTTACTTCCTATTGGATGTAGTCTTGTTGGAGAGGACATAAAAGCATGACTGGATATGACAACGATAATATAGAAGAAACCACAGTGAATGGCACAAACTCACAGTTTGATGCCTTTCCCTACTATGTTTGTTAGGAATAAGTAATGTTGTCAAGAGAAAAGGAATAATCTTAGAAATCTATAAAGCTCAACTCTCCCTACTGAAAACCATTTCATTTGTCTTTGGCAATTTATCAAAGACTTTCAGAGGCCAAATATTTTTTACTCACAACACACAGAGAGTTACAAAACTTAGTAAATATTTGAGTAATTCTAAATAAAGAAACAGTAAGAAAGGTACTTTTTTTTTTTGAAGCAAACTGACACGTGCAATTCTTTATTGTAAAGATTATGGGAAGGCTGAAGAACACAGTGAGTTCCAAGAACTTCTGTGCAGAGCATGGTGCAAATCCAGCTTGCAAGCAAAGTATGATACTGGGGAAAAAATCACCTCTAACTCAAAACAAATATGGCCTTAATAGGACCCTTGCACATTCAAACTAGGTTAATCTGAAGACAAGCCTCGTAGGCAATTTGATACTTACTCTGTGAGAAGTCTGTAGTCTTTATAGTTAATTTCTGGAAAAAATGTGTCACTTTCAAATTCCTTCAAGATTCTTGTCACAAACAATCGATGATGAATTGGTTTCTCCATTGCTGCCTTTAAAAACAATAGAAACTCAGTCACTATTTTATGCACCACAGGATTTTAGCAAAGCAGGGAAAAAATTACACTCTAAATCTCTTCTTTTAGACTCTGTTCAAGAGCACTTTCTAAAGGGCTAATTTCACCTTGTGTCTGTTCCACCTGGTAAGTGGCAGTAATACCTACTCTGAGTTTGAGTTATCTGATAGAAATTAAGAAAAAAAATTTGAATAGCCCTGTGAAGAGAAAGGAACAGCGTGGCCTAGTTGCAACAAGCAATTTCTGAATCACACCTCTTTGAGAAACAGGAAGGTGGTGGGAGATGCCCTCACCTCAAGGTCGTTTGTTCTGATGTTTAATTAATATCAACACTAAGGATTTGCAGTGTATTTTTAGTCTGCGTTAGTTTGCAATTCCAGAGATCAAACTGCCTATCAGTAGAACTTCAATGTTCGATCTCTGGATTGTGGAAAAGTGATAAAATGCATTGAAACTTTTTAACAACAATGTTTTCAAGCTCCTTGGACAAAAAAAGTTTAAAATGACACTTGTTAGGTGAGTTTGTCACTAAAAGCTTCAGGAGCCAAAAGTTTGAGATATTTTGTCTCCAGATAAGGCTGGAAAGACACCTCTCCCCATACCTTGTGGCATTAAACTAACCTATTAAAAGCTACACTAGTGATGGTGGTTACAATATATTTTTGAAAAGCTTGCAGCCATTCCTCCCTTTCCCTTAAACTGGTAATGAGCAATGCTCTTTGTGGAAGGTGACTCACCATGCAGCAGGCTATTAGGTACTACTTCAGCAAGAACAGGAACCAAGCCATAGCAAATGGAATCCAATAAAAGTAATTGTTGCCACTGCTAAGAGGTTAATTTCTAGAAAAGCCGCCTGATTACTAGACAACAGGTAAAAATGGAAGGGGCAACTCACAACACACCAGCATCCAACAGGACTGAACTGGTATTGGTCCAGCTTCTACACAAATACCAGTATTTTTATTTGTTTAAGTAAGTGTGGCAGGTAAGAAGAGAAACATACACCTGCAAAATGAGAGAAGAATAATAATCTGCTCCACAAACAAAAACATACTGTTTTTTGCAAACGGAGATACTTCTATTCTGTAGTAGAAGAATAAATTGATGTCCTATCCAGCTTTAGGAAGTCAGCTTCAGAAGAACTCTCTACCACCAGGACAGGCCAGGGAAGAGCACACTGATCACAGACGTTGCAAAGAGAACTGAATTTAGTCCAAAGGGACCAGATGGTGACCTCTGTTCCAGGTAAATGGTTTCATTAGATGAGTGAACCAACCAGCTGTGTAACCATCCGCTCATTAATAAAAGAAGTGCAAATGCTTCCTCAGTTGCCAGACTAGCTCTGGAGTCTGTGTGGAGGTGGCCCACAAATAGTAAACAACAAACAGAGAAGAACTTGGGGAAAAGCAAGGGACTCGAGGTGGTTATAACCCATATGTTTCTCCTCAGCAGGTGGGAATGCCCAATGTCATGGCAGAGAGAGTGCAGTGGGCAAGGAGAAACACATTGTAAAGTGACTCCACTTTCCATTTCACAATTTTTCCTATATTGGGATTTAAATAAGCAGTTGAATCACATATAGGCTGACATTCTGACCTGACCTTGGCCTGTACCCATGGCCCTGTCTGGTCACTCCAGGGCTGTGCCTAACTCTGGTAACCTCCATGGGGCCTGATTCTGCCCCATGGACCTTTCTCACCACCTCCAGCCCTAGCTGATGTGTCCCCTGTCATCCCAGTTACTGCCCCTGGGTTCCAGCTCCTTTGGGAGCACCTGGTCCTCCATGTTCTTTCACAGTATCTTCAGATAAGTTAAATTTTGGATCAAACAGGAAGCCTTTTACATGTGGAGCCTATACATGAGCCTGTTTGGCAATAACCGGACTCTGACACTACCTCTGCCAACTACTGCCATGGACCTGGCAGGATGGCAAAGGAGCTTTATCACAACTCTGTCATTTCCGCGGAGATTAAAGTAGTTCCTCAGTGACATTCAATTCACTCTTGCCCTGTCCAGCCCATTCCATGCATTCCTTTTCTTAGGACTGAAGAGAAGTTAGAGGATGAATAGTGCTGAGCTGATGGAATGTTGATGTACTCATTCTACAAACACCATAAGACCATACCAACATAAGTAAATCAACACCTGTGTGTGTTATTTATTCTTTCTTTTAAGACGACTGTATATAATATGTGGCAATGTGCTGGACTCATAGATCCTACTCCTAGGAACAGCCTAATAAAGCCTGAGTGCTGTTTCTAATCAGTCTAAACTACACAGTTTAAATCTAGTTAAAAGAAACTGATATAACTGAGCAGTCTCTGAGCAACCTGGTCTAATGGAAAGTCTCCCTGCCCACGGCAGAAGGTTTGGAATAAGACGGTGTCTGAAGTCCCTTCCAACCTAAACCACTCTGTGATTCTATGACTCCCTTAGGATGTCCCTTAGCACTGTTTTTCAGAGTCAAAGCCAAGACCTGAACTCTCAATCAGGAGACAATACCTCCACACAGAGAGCATCAGTGTCTGAACTCAGAAGAAGATTTGAAATCACAAAACTGTAGAATCACAGAGGTTGGAAAAGACCTCCAAGACCATTGAGTCCAACTGTCACTGAATCTTCCGATTGCTCCCAGTCATCAAGCCTGAGTTGTACTTGGGAACAGTTTTGACATCCATGAACTAAATTTCTTGGGGATGAAACCAAGCCAGGAAATGTGCTTCAGGGATATGTCTGACAAGCTCTAAGAGCTACCAGGGACTCCAGGGCCAGAACCTATGAGTGAGCCACTTCCAGCTAACAAGAAGCACTCACAGGTCAGCAGATAGCCCTCAAACATGAAGTGCTTGCACAAAATCATGAAGTGCCTGTCATTACACAGAACAGCTTTGTAATTGCTGTAACCTACTGACCACTGCTGCGCTGTTCTGCTCCTCCTTCCACACCTACACAACCAACAGCAACCTCAACTCCTTCTGCAACTCAGGAGATCCCGAGCAGTGCAGAGGATCCACAGAGTGTGTCACCATGCTAACATCCAAAGAAATTAAGCTTGTAAACCTGTGCTGTGAGTAGTCCAAAAGCTTCCCTGGAGGCATCAGTACTGCCCTCACCCTGCAGTTGGGCAGGTGCTGACCTGGCACAACTCCCTGGGTGAGGTCAGGTCAGGCTGGTGTTTCAGTGCGAAGGTGTCTGGGCTGAGCACGAGGCACAGAGGGGATGCACTGTTTCAGGTGAGGCAGGTGCTCAGATGTCCTGAATGACCCACACTAAGGGTGTGGGAAACCAAAGGCAGCAAAGGCCTGGAAGATCATGTTCATGTTCCCTGCTCACACCATCTACAGAAACAAGGCTGGTAGGACTGCTCCTGGGAGCTGGGAGACAACAGCCCTGGCCACGGGGGACCTCCCCAAGCCAAACTGATCAGAAGGCGCTAAGGTTGGGAGCTGTGTTAAAAGGCTCCACAGGGCAATAGGCCACCCTCTTGTCTGGCAATGGCGGCTGCTGCTGCTGTAGCTCTTGACAGATGTCCTCAGTTGTGCACCCTCATATTCAAATATGTTTTGCATCTACTCCTCATTCCCCAGAATCCCACACCAGTGGGATGTCATCATCAGACCCAGTGGGATGTCTCCAGACCCAATGGGATGTCACCAGCCTAAGTTCACTGTGCCAAGGATCACAGACCAAACAGGGCAGAGCATCCCCAGTGAGGACCCCAAGAATCCCCCCACGTTCCTACTCATCCTTCAACATCCATATCAGCCCCTGACAGGCTGCCGAAGCAGCCCACCCCAAAGTTAAGTGCCAGGGGTGTGTTCCCTTCCGTAGCGAACTCAACTTAAAGATGTCTGTGCACTAAGGAGTTAGCAATCCACAGAACAACTATCCTGAACACACTAGGCCGGTGCTGTGCATATTCCTTGCCCATTGGATCAGACAGAGAGCTGTAACAGAGGAGCCTTGAGGCACCTTCCCCTTGGAACTAGTGATTGTACCAACTGCATGTCCTTGATCTAAAAGGACAGCAAGAAGCTCTCATGTGAACATCCTTCCTGTTTGACAGCAGAAATGATGAATAGACCCATTATCCTGTAAGAAAATCCTATAACAGCTTGAATAACCAAAATGGGATAGCCCTTTATATGGACAAGGCTCATACTAATAAACACAATCAGTTCTAAACCTTTGAGCCACACAAAGCAGTAAGATCAAAATAATGCTTTAAACCCAAATACCTGTAACTACCAAATAAAATTATTCACTTCAATTACCAATTGTTATTTTACTTCCCACACATTTGTACAAAGTATAACAGAAATACTCTTATGAAACCCTTTGTGCATCTTTAATACAGGCACTACAAAAATGACCTGCAGTTTTGGTAGAGGTGTGTGTTTTCCATCAAACCCTTCTAGTTAAGATCACAAGCCTAGTTTGAATGCAGGAATCTGTATAAAACTGTTAAGATTTCTCTCTAATGAATTAATATTTCCTTTCAAATATCCTGAGCAGATATCCTGAGCTTGCAAGGGGGAAAACAGCTGAAATTTCAGAATTCAAGACCAGTTTGGGTTGGAAGGGACCTTAAAGCCCATCCAGTTCCACCCCCTGCCACAGGCAGGCACACCTTCCACTATCTCAGGTTGCTCCAAGCCCTGTCCAATCTGGCCTTGAACACTTCCAGGGATAGGGCAGCCACAGCTTCTCTGGGCAACCTGTGCCAGGGCCTCATCACCTTGACAGTGAACAACTCCTTCCCAATATCCCATCTAACCCTGCCCTCTGGCAGTGGAAAGCCGTTCTCCCTTGTCCCGTCCCTCCAGGCCCTTGTCCAAAGTCCCTCTCCAGCTCTCCTGGAGCCCCTTTAGGCACTTGAAGGGGCTCTGAGGTCTCCCCAGAGCCTTCTCTTCTCCAGGCTGAACATCTTCAGTTCTTTCAATGCTTTTCCATGTCCAGGGTAACCAGATCTCCTATTACCCTAAGACATATTTCCTTACACTGACCAGCACAAATAGTATGTTCCAAGTTACTCTTGGTCAAAGCTTCCAATTTATAATCTAAGTATTGGTGATTAAGAGTCTAAAAAATTACATTATTCTCTACCAAATATCAGCCAGACACTGGAAAAATAGTTAAAATACAAGTCTACAAGACAGGTGCTCCTGGAAGGAGAAGCAAAAACAATCATTCTCTACAGCACTAGATAAGCCTGTGGCTGTTGCAGGAAAGGGGTAAATGGTTCTGCTCACACTTGCATCCTGCAGAACTACTGTCAGAGGCTCTTGCTGGGCAGCTGTGCCCACTGTGAAGAGAAGCTGTCTCCACAAATTCCCTGCTTGGAAGCAGACTGAGAGTGAAGGACAGATTACTTCTATAGGATAATAGCTGATTATAGACTGAATGCATTTGCAATATCAAATACATGATGTCTACTTCACCACACTCAGAAGTGATTATAAAACAGAAATTAAAAAAAGGGAATAAAGAAACAACAGTGTTTTACAGGCTATTTATACATGTACTTCATTTTTCTCACAGCTTTAGCAATATCTAAATACTTCACTTTTTTTACTGTAAAAGATGCATTCCAAAGACACAAAGAGGTTCGTGAAAGGCAAAAACTGCAGAGGCAAGAAATACCAGAAAATGTATTTTCCTGTCCCACACAAGGCATAGTATCAGCCCCCATTTGCTACTAGGAGCTTGACAGCACTGTCATCATACATCTGAAGTCCCAGTGCCAAACAACAAGTGGACAGTAAAGGATACTAGAACTGTTTCCTTCACTACTAAAAAAATAATTGCTTTACAGTTCTTAACAATTCAATTACTAATCCAGAGACTGGGAGCAGTAGGGACATCTGGCTGTTGGATGGGAAAGCAGAGTGAGTGCAACCTCTCGTCATATGATTATCTCCTCTTACTGCTGACACCATCAGCTGGCAGCTCTCTCTAAACCCTCTTTTCTCACCTGTATACATGCAAAAAGGGTCATACTCTGGCTAAAAATGCTGGACCATTTTTCTTTTTTTTTCATATCCTTTGCAGAGTCAGTCAGCACCCTTGGTAAAATAAACATAGCAATCGTGGTTTTGGCTGAAAAACCGAGCAATTTAGATATTTAAAATAAAGCTCTCAAAAGCACAACAACTGTATGGCAGTGGCCCACTGGCAAGACCAACATTTGGTTACTTGGACAGGTATTTTAAACTCGAGAGCTGAAATCTCACTTTCCAAGACTTGCTCTGTTAGAATCACTGCAGTTTGCACTTCCTAATGCAGAATTAACAGGGACTTGAGCCACTCTCATCCCACCAGAGAGAACGAGTAACTCAGGAGTAGGCTGAATGTACCTTGTAAACTGAAGTGCCTCCAACGATCCAAACCATGTCTACTTTACTTTTTAGCTCTGGTGAATCCAAAAGAGCTAAAGCATCATCCAGACTTTTGGAAAGATAATGTGCTCCTTTCGGGGCTTCCCTAGAAAAAAGCAAAGTTTTATCACTAAATAATTAGAAGGCAATTCATTGTGATCATCAATACAATCTAGAGACACAATGTGTTTGGCTGAATTCACAAACAACTAAATGTAATTGTTTTGAAATGCCTGTTATTGCCAATCTATGTTAGAATTCTCATCTGACTGCAAGTTTATCAGATTTCAGCTTCATTGTAACTTAAGAGGCTTTATAAATTATAGATCTGAAATTTTATAACATGTTTTCGAAAAAGCATAACAGAGGAATTTACATATATAAATTAAATAAATTACAGATAATATAGAAATTTTTACCTGAATTCCAAAACATTAATATTTCATTCAATAAAAATAGTTGAAAAGCCCCTATTCACTGCCCGCCCACATGATCAGCTGCAAACCCACCAACATCCTCCAAAACAATAAACCACTCTAAGTGGACATTTTTGTTTAATAATATTTGGGTAACTGCGGGTGACGCATTCAAGATGAGAGCTCTGAAAAAGGGCAGTTCATCCACAAATCCTAATAAAAATAAGCTTCAAAAAAGGGATTAAGAGCCACCAATCTAAGCAGGAACTAGAGAAATGCAGTTGAACACGAGTCAGAAAAACTATGGACAACTGTCAAATGGTTTGTGAGTAGAGCTAGAAGTTTTACTTACAATGCAAAGTAATGACAATTACTTGTAAATTAATAAAAAAAAAATTAAAGGTAAAGTAGTTATAACACTCAGGACAAAGAGCAGAAATTCGTTCTAACCAAATACCAGAAATGATACATTTGGAATTACTGTATGTTGATTTGCTAGAGGTATTTTTAGGTGCAGAATTTTTATTTGTTTTACAGGCCTATTATTCATCATACTTACTTGAGCTCCCTGCTGAGCACAATATTAATTCTGTCTTTTAGAGGACGGTTCTTCTCAGGAATGGAGAACCAGGTTTTTTTACCCATTATCAGTGCATTCTGTTTACCTGAGTATGAGAGGAAACATTTACTTAAGTTTACTGTTTAGTGACAATGGTGGACTTCCCCTTCTAAACTTGATGACAGCAGTTAACAAAAGCACAAGCTTAGGCCCCGGTCACTAACCAGTCACATGTTTGTGGCCTCAAGGCATTGTCAGTCAGCTGACACCAATGCAGTCTCATATAAACTCATAACATTTTTTAGAAGAACCAGCAAAATTAAATCTAAAGCTGAAGGGTATCAGGTGTTCAATCATATTCTAAAAATTCACCTATAATTTCTGACCAAACCCAAGCATTCATAACCTCATATACAGACCTTTTTTTATAAAATTACCTCTTATATACATTCCTAAGAAGAGAAAGGTTTCTCTTTATGAGGAAATGGAGTTGTCAGAAAAATAAACACAGAGGCTGAGAGTCAAAGGTGACATCCCTGCTGTGAAGATTTATGGTAGCATAATCCATTAAGAAGCCTGGTTATGAAGCAACTTACCTACCTAACACCTAAGGTCACAACTTATCAAAAGATCTGCAGGCAGGATGGAGCAAAATTTTTCTTTTTAATTGTATTTTAAATATTTTTTTTTTGATCAGAGGTTATTTGTGCCAGGTAAGATTCAACTTGCAGACATTTAAAAAGACTTAAAATTGTGTTCTTTTTTTTTTAAAGTTGCAATGGGATGAATGAGGTCTCCAAAACACAAATAAAATCCTTCCTTAAGACTGTTGAAAAATGAGATTAGACATTCCTTGTGGATTATGGAACAGACCTTTAAGTCAGAAAATGGAATAGGTCAACTAATCAAAACAGGGGAACATATTAGGCTGACCAGGAGTTTTAACAGGAGCATGAATAAAAAAAAATAGGAAGGAGTGACCACGTTGGGAAATGTTTGCAGTATGGCTGCTGTGTATTATCAGCAGGGTTACGGTATTCTGGCATATGGGGATGGCTCAGCACTCAGAAAACGAAACAAAATTACATCAGAAAGGTCAGAGGCTTGGAATAAATGACCAAGGCTGAGCTACAGCAAACAAGTTAGATAAGCTAAAACAGCCTGAAAAAAACAAACCATCTCTGCTAGTTAATCAGCATGTGAAAACCTTTCCATTTTTAACATGGAGTTTCAGGGAAAGATGTTTTAGGTAAACTTGAGGTGAAGTTTTCTACTCTTTTGGGGAAACAGGACTTGGGAATCCTTTTCATTAACAGATCACCTGCACCCCCAAAACATCTGAATCATCTCATGTCTTCATCTGATCCGAACGATTTCCCAAGGGATGAAGTACAGGGGAGGCTTGAGAGGGCAGGTGGTGTGCAGAAATAAGGCTGGTAATCCAGGGAAATGTAAAATCCCCAGTTTTCCGTGCCTGACACTACACACAGCTCCACATTACCTTCCACATGAGACGTGGTAGTCATTCTCTGGAAGTACTTGTACTCATTCCTGGCGAGAAAACATGAAGAAGGTTACAATGTGGTTTAAGAATGCAGTATCTAATTTCTAATACTTTTTGGCAATTTCTCTAACTAAAAAAAAAGAAAAAAAAAAAGAAAGAAAAAACCCCAAACATAAAGCGGGTTCTGCTGGTGCCCGGGGAGGAGAGGCTAGACAGAGCCTGGGCCGATGCCATGGCCGAGGCGGGACCTTTGTCCTCGGTTGCAGGAGGGACAACCCACGCCATGGCGTGAAGACGAACCCACCCGAAACCCCAACCTCGCCATCCCGCCATCGCCGCGCTTTCCCGCCTCGCCGAGCATCGCCCTCCCGGACTACAACTCCCGGCGCACCCCACGCGGCCCCGCAGCGCCCGGCGGCAATGGTGCGGCGCAGAGCACGCCGGAAGCTGTAGGCCGCCCGCCGTCACTCTCGCCCGGCGGCGGCGCGGCCGTACCTGAGGGGTGGCCAGGGCAGCCGCCCGTCCTTTCCGATGCCCATGTTCTGGCTCACGGCCACGATGGAGTTGAGCGAGCGCGCCATGGCGGCGCCGTGAGGGCCGAGCGGGGCAGCGCCGGGGCGGGCGGGCTGGACGGGGGCGGGCGGAGCGGCCCCATCCGGCGGGAGGCGGTGCCGGGCCCAGCCGGGCCATGGTGCCGAGGGGGCGGCGGGAGCGCGGCGGGGTCAGGCGGCAGCTCGTGCTCAGCAGGTTTTTCGGCGCGGCGGCGACCGGCGGCGAGCTCGGCTCCGCCCGGAACACGGTGACCGGCCAGGGCAGGGAGGGACGGACGGGCGGGCAGGCAGGACAGAGGTTCCTACAGGCGAGGGACCGACCGCAGCACCTGTGTGACGCGGGCACTCTGAGGGCATCCTCAGACAAAGGAAAGACAAGGAGCTGCTGGAGAGGGTCAGAGGCCACAGAGGTGATGAGGGGTCTGGAGCTGGGCCTGGTTAGTCTAGAGAGAAGACTGAGAAGGGATCCCATCAGTCCACACCAATATCCCCAAGGGGTGTCAGAGGATGGTCCCAGACTCTGTTCAGTGGTGCCCCAGCGACAGGACAAGGAGCAATGACCATAAAATGAAACACAACAAGTTCTCCCTCAACATGAGGCAGAACTTCTTTCCATGGAGGTGGCAAAGCCCGGAAAAGCTGCCCAGGGAGGGTGTGGAGTCTCCCTGTCTGGAGACATCCCAAACCCACTTGGACATGTCCCTTTGTCCCCTGCTGCAGGTGACCCTCCCTGAGCAGGGGGTTGGGCTGCGTGATCTCCAGAGGACCCTTCCAACCCCAACCATTCTGTGATCCAGGATGTCCCATTTTGCAGGAACTGGAGCTCAGCAAAGGTTTGATGAGCTGGTCAGGGCCAGGGTGCTGGTCCATGTCACTGGGGCTTTGCTCCCATATTGGATCGCTGGCACAGGCTGTGCCTCCTGGTGTTGCAAAATGTGGAATATGTAGAGATTATCTTAAATCAGGATGTTCTTTGATGTTTGATCTTTGTATTGTTTCCTGATCAACAAGGAAGGAGACCTGGTCAGTGGGACAGGCAGCAGCTGCATCCCTTAGGGAAGGACATCCTGGAACCAACAAGCATTCAGGGTGAAATAAAGATATTGATGTGTGCCTATGTACACATTGCTAATTGGCAAAATGCTCAAGGTCTGCGTATCCTGTGGCTGAACTGTGTTCATTATAATACTAAAACCCACATCTACAGGCCAAAAAAGACTCAGCCCAAGTGCAGACCCTTCCCCTGAGCACATGTAGAAGTTGGCTGGCGTTGTGTAACTTATATGCAAATGACTAATCGATCCTGATAGAGGGGCTGTGCTTGGGAAGTTACTAATTCTGGATTTCTATGTATAAATGATGGCACAGAAAGTCCAGTTGTTGTGCTGGATTTGTGGAACACACTGCTAACCCGTGGCCTGTGAAGTTCTGAAATAAATATTCAGTGTCTCTCAGGTGTGTAATTATTGGCTTGTTGCACACCAGATGACAAATCAGATTTTGTGGACAACTCTGGCAGGTAGCAGGCTGAGCTCATGGCCCAGGTGATGGAGCTCAGGCAACTCCAGGTAGGTCTGCTGTTGGGTGCAAGGCCAAAAGAGCCTGCAATGATCCAGCAGCCTCTTTGTATCACCACTGGTTAAAAACTGCTATCTCTTAGGAACTGGTTTTCATGCTGAGTTTATGTTTTCCAGTCTTCCTGTAGTTAAAATTTCCAGCCCCTTGTAGCCCAGGATGGTCGTTTGCTTTTTCCACCTGTGTGTCAAGGCAACTTTTTTGGTTACCTTTGGTCCAAACGCATTTTTAAAGGTGTGATTGCGGCTTTCTGCCCATGCAGAGAAAGCTTCCTAATTAGTGTTTATTTGGTGGTATTTAACAGTGGATTCAGAAGCTTTGCTACTTATGTGGGCTGTACATATGGATAGGTTATATAGACATTATGAACTTGGTTGGTGGGGGTGGAGCTCCTGCTTAGTTGTAAGGAAATTGAAATTCCTCAATTAAACGCTCTGAGATTACCATATGAAATGTGGCTGCAGGCAGCTGAAAGCATCTGCTGTGTGCTTATCTGTGAAGTGTTTATATGTTGTTGGAACTGTAAGTTACTTCTTTATATTTAGTCAAACTTCTTGCATGCTGTTAAGCAATAGATCACTGATGAAACAGCATAAATTGACGAATTTTTGGTTTACATAGTGTTCAAAGTGCACGTGTCAAAAGACATCTAAGGAGTAGTGGTTGACAGTGCTGTATTTTGTACAAACCCAGGTGCTTACAAGTAGTTTAGGAAAACCTTTTTAAGCCTGGACTGATACTTGTAGGATGGTGTGGAGCAAATGGAGGTGATCCCATCATCTCTAGGATTCAGTCCGTAGGGAATGATGCCTCTTGGGGGTGAACAGCCAGTATCTGGCAAAGAGAGAACTCTGGACTGTGGGAGTGAGGATTTGCAGAAGAGCTCTGGTTCAGGCACAGGCGGTGGCTGTGGTGTTGTGGGAAAGTCTGTTAAATACTGGTTCAGTTCTCTGCCACAGAAGTAGCTTTAAGCTGCCTTTTGAAGCCACAATAGCTGCAGGTGTTTTTTTTATAGCACAACAGCCAACCTGATCACAAGATGTACTGTTCCTCTTCCTCTTGTAGCCTCAAGTGCTAGAAGAACTGTTTTATAAACAAAACATGTAGATAGGTAAAATAGTTAGGAATTTTGTATATGGTAAATTATTTTCATAGAATCACAGAAGGGTTTGGTTGGAAACGACCTTAAAGCTCATCTCCTTCCATACATCATCATGGGCAGGGACACCTCCAAATGGACCAGGTTGCTCCAAGCCCTGTCCAGCCTGGCCTTGGACACTTCCAGGGATGGGTTATTCAATAATTTTGTGTTGTCTCTTTGTGAAATGCTTGGTTGCGTTATTGTCTTTCTTAGAGGATGGCAAAGAGAAAAAGGAACTGAACTTCTTTGTGTAATTTATGTTTCAGGCTTCTGAATGTGGCACAAAAAGGAGCACATCAACTGAAGGCAATGAACCTTGTGAAAAGAAGCCCAAGGCACAACAAATCACTCTAGAAGATATCTGTAACCCACTGAAGACTCAGGATAAAAGTGAGTTGACTGTAAACCAACCTCCAAGCATTGACAGCTAGTAAATAGTTTGTCATTGTCAAATGTGAAAAAAGTGTCTCGGTACTTCGGGAAGTGTCCCTTGAGTGTAAGGTGCAACTCTGAAGAGCCATAATGAGCGTACTCCTGAACTGTTCAAGAACCTTTCTGTGGCACAGGAGCTAGGAATTTGAGCCTTGCGCCAGAATTACTTTGCAAATTCCCTTCAGCTCACTCAGCTTTAACAGGTTGTTCAGTCAGTGAAGTCCAGATGTCCAGGCAGAAATGGTGCAACTTTCCTTCCTGTGTTGGTTTAACAGTCTTGTTCTGAAGCACAACTGACACTTGAGAGCTCTGTAGAGCCTGGTCTGTAACGGGTGTACCCAAAGGCTACCCTGAAGTAAATTCTCACCTGGGAAACAACAGCCACTCCTTTGTCTTGAGAATGCCTGAGTTCCATCTGGCTTTGAACCAAGAGTTTAATAAAATAATACTGGTACAAAAACAAATGGGTGTATATACAGTTCATTGCACTTCATTTAAAAGAATTAGCCTCCTAAGTTTTTTAAAGTGGGAACTATATTCAGTTTTGTCGGTGCAATGGTTTGAAGTACCACTAAGACACTACCAAGTAGCAATACTGCTAAAACCTGGACTGACAAAAATTCTACTTGATTTCCAGTATTCTTGACTAAATTAGTGGCTTTGTAGTTACCAGCCCAGAAAATAGTTGTGTGTCTTTTCCCATGTATGACCAAGCACACAAGTGAGGAATACTGGTTTTCCAGGGAGATAATCAAGCTGTTTCCATGCATGACTCTTGTCAGTCTGGGAGAAATATTACAATGGGAGAGGAGAAGGAATGTAGAGAAGAGAGAGATGGAGCAAAATGGTTTTGTTCTGTGCTTACTGATGTTATTCTAACAGACATTCTGCTTTAGAAAATAAGTTGCTAATGTTTTTGTTGTGTATTTTTACTGAAGAAGAACCTCAGAAGCATGAAAAGCCCTGTATATGTTTGCAAACTCTAGACAGACTGAGAGAATTCAGCAGTGATTCAGACCAGCGGTGTACCAGAATCCAGGATGGTTTTCAGGAGAAAGAGTCCGAGAGTTTGAAAAAATGTCCCAGTATTACTGGGAGAAGTTCAGAATTGAAGATCCCTCTTCCGTCTTGGGACACTGACCCAAAGGTTGCTCAGAAGGTATGCAGAGCTGTGGTCTGTGGTGTGTAGATTGCTTGTTGTGGTTTAAAAAAGCAAGTTTTGGCAGAAGCTTTGTGTTTTTGTGTTCTGTCATGAAATAGTGCAGCAGAACCCGACAGACCCCACAGACCCTGCTTTCCTGAAGCTCTTCTTGTAGTGAACAGGATGCATCTTTAGCTCTTCAGTAATACCACTGAAAAACAGCAGTAATGAGAGCAGAGACACTGGTAGTGTATCTTGTGATTGAGTGAAGCTGTAATATCGTAATAACGCATGTTCAGTTGGTAGTTGGCTCATCTTTCTTTCAATTCTACCAATTTTGATGTGGGATGTCAAATTTCTACCAGTCTTTCTTTACATAAATATTAGAAATATTGCTGAGATGTAGCCTAATCCAGTGGCTGGTAAATCTGACTACTAGAGATACCACTGCTTTTTCATCTGCAGAAGATATGGGTAGCACGCATGAAAAGTTATCATTATTATATGTATTATGCAAGTCAATAAGACTGAGGTAATAGTACTTTGTAAGAGTTGTAGTATTTTGCTTCTTCTTTAATTATGGGTCTAATTAACTTTAGTTAATTCGTTGTTTTAGGTGTCAGGTCCTAAAAGGTATCTCCTGGCTTATTGTGGCAACTGCTCTTTAGTGAAGTTTTATATCTGACTCTTTGAGGGAAGGAGGTTGTATGGAAGGTTATACAGTTGATTTTAACCCTCCCTGAAGCTCATGAACTTAATCTGGGGGTGTCTGGTTTGTGTGTGAGCTCAAAATGCTGAAGTGAACAGCTTGTGGCAAGAGATTTCTGTTGTGATAAGGGATTGAGCTTATGTAGATGTGGTCCCTTGGAGAACACAGAAAACTGATTCATGGGCTGGCCTGCCTTCTTGGAGCAGCTCATTTTATATGTTTGTATCTTGATTTTTTCCAGCAGTTTTAACCTGCTTATGTAAGTGATTTTCCTCTAAATCCCTCAAGCTGCTAACTTACAACCATTTCAGTGATTCAACTTCTCTCTCTGCTTTTACTTCTTTTGCTTCCTTTCATGACCTTTATTCATGTCATTGTCGCTACGATTTCCCCTAAAATGAGACAAGGTCTTCCTGCTGGGCTGGCACAGACCTTGGGTTGAGGACTGCTGGGTGCTTGGGCTCAGGGTTTTGCAGTAGAGGCATCTGAGCTCCTGGGGCCACCCAAGTTCTGGTGCAGCTTTATTTGTCCTGGGCTGTGCTGTCTTGCTGGATGGTGTGCAATTCTGGAAATTTTGCAGTTAAAGTGTTCTTTTTCCCTGATTGTTCTCTGACTGCAGTCTTTGTACATTCCTATGACCCAGAGTGTATGATTTAAGTCGTCTCTGTATTTCTTCTGAGTTATCACAGCTGCGAAGCAGTCTGTTCACTTGGTTGCTTGTCATCTGGATGGGACGCTTGCTAGAAATGGAAGTCTGATGGATTTATTTGCAGATACAGAATTTTGCAGCACAACCTAATGAATTGTGTTTTGAATGATCATGGGCTTTAAAAACCTGTGGAGGGTGTTGTGTTAGTATTTTTTTTTTTGAACAAATTTTATTGGTACTTGATATTGTGATATGAGTGAGGAAGAACTTCACTGTAAGTGAAAAATGCCTTATCAATGTTGTTCACTGCACTAATGAAAGACTGAACCCATCACCTTGTTGACGACACAGAACAATGCTGATTTGTAGACCTGAAGTTGCTTGAGAAGAGTAGGCTGCATAATGTCATTGTGAATGGTAAATTGCTGAGAGACTGGGCTGCTCAAAGTCTTACGTGTTAAGGATTTTAGAAACTGTAGTATAGATTTTTTGTGTATAAATTATTTTGGAAGGTTTGCTGAACTTACATAATAAGGGCATACTGGAGAATAAATATAGTTTTGGTGGTTGAGACAGTGAACTGAGACTCAAACTGTTTTATTTCTGGGTTTACTGTGGATTTTTGGAACATCATTAATCTCTCTACACTGGAGTTTCTTACTGTAAATTGGAGTGGTTATTTTAATGTCTGGCCAGTTTGGACTGCCCAGTCTTTGCAGCCTGCATGGCTCTTGATCTGTGTTTTGAGAACTTACGATACAATAAGACATATGATTTCACCTGAGATGTCTGAGGATTGTTGTAAAGCAAGTCAACTAACTTTGACTTTCATGACTTTTTAATTCCTTTTAATTCCAAATAAACTGCGTTGTGTATATCCTACTTAAGTAGTTTTGCTGCAGCTCTTTGGGCTATTTAATGCAGGAAGAGTCTTTAGCTCTGTGGTCAATATAAGCCAAGGTATATGGGGGCAGTTGATTTGTGTGATGATTCCTAACTGTACTTTTCCATCCTTTATTTACAGGAGGAGGTACGATGTGATCTTAGTCAGTTTTCTGCATCTCTTAAGTCCTATGAAAATACTCAGAATGCTTTGGATACAAATCTTAATAAAAGAACCAAAAGCATTTACACTCCATTAGAACTTCAGTTCATAGAAATGAAGAAACAGTATAAAGATGCTGTTTTGTGTGTGGAATGTGGATACAAATACCGCTTCTTTGGAGAAGATGCAGAGGTAATTTTTGCCAGGGTTATGCAAAAATTGTTGCATTGTACTGGTGTCCTACTCGATCTATGACTACTTCCAGAAGAGAGGTTTCTTTGTGGGTGCTTCTGATACTTGAAATCAAGGTGAAAAAATCTCTACATGCTTAAACTTTTTGCCAAAATAGGCTTTATTATTTTGTAATTGGATGGTAGTGCTTGCTGTCTTGCATGCTGAGAATTTAAGGTGAGTTCCCAGAATAATTACTTGTCAGAGTTAAAACTGAAAAACTCTCAGAAGTGAATTGGCTTAAAACTCTACCAGGAGTATTTCAGTTTGGAAGACAGTGGAACAAGTACTGTAAAAAGAGATGAACATAGCAAGTATAGTCTGGATGCAGAGGGTATTTTGAATGCGTGTTCAGATGTGGCACCTGCACATGCCAGATCCGTAGGAACTGGAAAAGACTTGATAAAAACATAATTTTGAAGTGATGGTTCATTAATGGTTTATAATGTTGGGGGATTTGTTTTGTGATGTGTCCCAAAGTCTTTGCTGCCAGCCGTTGATTGGTACTATTTCCACACTCGAGACCAGTGAGAAATGTTGCTTAGTTACTGGGAATTAATTTTCCCCATGAAATTTGGGCTGTGTAATTTGTCTACTCATTTGCTGGTGTACTCGCAGTCCAGAAATAGAAATACGTGGTCCAGGGAGACAGGTCAGTGTTTGGCTGCAGTTCCTGCTTAACAAACATTGTCTAGTCAGTGAACAACTAAAAGGCAGAAAGTCAAATACGAATCACACATGATAATGTCACATTTCAGTAAGTGTTGTTACTCTTTTTTATTAAGTATTCAGTTTCTACTACTCTTTGATATTGATTTTTCAGTATTTTAATTGATTAGCCAGCTTAATCCCATCTTAATAACCACAAATTAAATACCTCCATTCCTTTTGTGTTTTTAGGAGTGCGAAAATTACTTGACCATCTGTTGAGCTGTGTTTTAGACCCTGTGTGTACAGTATGTGTGGTTTGCCTCACAGTGGTGAACATCAAACTGCACCCTAAAAATCTGACAGGTGAAGTCTGTGATAGCGAAGCCCCTGCTTGTGGCAATGCCAAGACAGGAAGGTGCAGGGGCCCACTCCCTCCAGGCTTTCTCCTGGAATGTTTTCCCTTTGACACTGAGCTTTTAATTGTAGCTGTGCATCACTGTTGTCATAGAGATAAGCTCCTTACCCTCCTGAATGACTTTCTGACCTGTTGGCTGACTTTTCTTGTACTTTGCAGATTGCAGCTAGAGAACTGAACATCTATTGCCACCTGGATCACAACTTCATGACTGCCAGTATTCCGAGCCACCGGCTGTTCGTCCACGTGCGGCGCCTTGTGGCAAAGGGACATAAGGTCATCTTTGACCTTTATTAAATCCTCTTGAGCACAGAATAGCACTGAAATAACTTGCACCTATTGTAACCAGAGTCTTATTTCAGCTGAGAAATGGGCAGCTCATTATCACCTGCTTCTGCAATTAAAAATGTCCTTTGTTTCAATTCCTCTGTTCTGGGAGGTGTCATGGACCTTAAGTAGATTCAGGCTTCCTCTGTTTTACAGAAAAGTATCTTCATGTTTTCAGGAACAGTTCTGGAACAATTTTTCCTCTCAGTATTTCTTTATCAAGTCTTTCCATTTGATAAAGAGAAATGTATATATCCTCTCTTTCTTTTATTGTTCCTCACATCCTTGTTTTCCTTATCCCAGCCCAATTTTTTTCCTTCCTATGCCTGTAATTCTAAGGCTTTCTGTTGATACCTCTTTTTCTGGTTTTAGGAAAAGAATGTCACAGGATCCCAGAATATGCTGAATCTAAATTGATTGCAGCAACCATTCTCTGATAAGCAGTGAACTGTAGCTTAGTTGTTTCAAAATAGGACAAGAAGCACAGGGGCAGAAGCTGGGAAGGCAATTAGGAGTAGACAAAGGGTCAGGAAAAGGAATGCCTTTCTCATTAGTAGGATTGATGTTTGCCTCTGCCCTTTCTGTTGATGATGCACTCCAGCTTGAATCATGCATTTGCTCTTTGCACATCTAAAAATATCATCAATCATATGAAATAGTAAAAATAATAATTTATTATCAGAGATCTAACTTTGTTTCTTGTTTGCCTGTAGGTTGGAGTAATAAAACAAATGGAAACTGCAGCGCTGAAAGCTGCTGGAGAAAACAAAAGCTCTCTCTTCAGCCGTAAGCTGACTGCTCTCTACACTAAGTCTACACTTATTGGAGAAGATATCCTTTTCAAACAAGTTTGGTTTCAGATCTAACCTTTGGTTTGTGAGAGGCCTTGATTCCAGTATTATCACCTGGATGGAACATGAGTAGCAAGTGGCAGCAGGAAACCAAATTCCTTTAATTTTATGTTGTGTAAAACATCTGGCTGGCTTTTCAAAGAATTTAATCTCCTCAGGGGTGTAGGTTTGTTGTGAAACAGCAGAGGTTATGTTTACTGTAGTTGCTTTCTGAAGGCAGAGAGTGGGCTTCCCAAGTCTACCATGTTCTGCAGGTCCTGCATAGAAAATGCAAAAATGAGATAGAAACAGCTTTTAACCAGTGACTTTAGTTTCTTCCCTTCTATTTTTCGTTTTTTAATCTCCTGCCTTATCTATCTCATTTTTTTTCTTTAATTTCTTGAACTAACTTACCAGATACCAGGAGCTAAAAAGATTTTTAGATTAGTGCTTGTGAGTAGAGAAGGACTTAGATCCAGAAGGACCTGTGAACAATCCACCCAAATCTCTGTACTGTTTTTTTTAACACTTGTTACATGTGAACCCTTTGCTGAAGCTGGATGATTCTGTAGATGTTGAAGAGGTAACAAGAGATGTCCCTGATAACTACCTCCTCTGTTGCTGTGAAAATGGAGAAAACCTAAGGGGCAGGAAGACAGGTGACATTGTTATAGGCATTATGGTAAGTTAGTTTCATAGGGGAATCAGTATTTTAGGGTTTGTATGGGGTGGTTTTGTTGGGTTTTTTTTGAGAGGTGGGTGATTACCTTCTTAAAGTCATAATCTGTCTTATATATTTTATTTTGGGTGGGGAATTGATTTTTTTAAATTACTTTTGTCTGGGTTTTTTGTTGTTGTTAAAAAGGGGCAATTTAGGTAAGATATCATCTGTATGTGAACTGTGATGGCTTTACATTTGAAAACTACAGAAAAGGAGTTGATAGTTGAATATTCATGAAACTGTATTTGCTGTTGTTTCACTTGAAAACATATTTTAACCAAATACAGGGGAATCATTAGTTCAGATGCTTTAGTAACTTTAAACATTTTTAGGGTCAATATTTTAAAGCTTGTGACTGCTTTTTTCCTATATAAAATACTATTCTTTAGAGCAAAAGACTTAGGATTTTTTACCATTTACGCTTCAGATTTGTATTCTCTTTTATGGTGAAGATTAAAACCAATCACTCTAACCAGCAAAACGCGGTGATAACTGAAGCCTGGTCAGCTGGTAATTAATTAATTTAAAAGCATCTTGATTGTGCTTGTGTTTGAATGTCACACTGCAGATGGGAGAGAACAACAAAAGCACATGTTTAGATTCCAGGCTGAATTACATGTAGCTTTCATGGACTTCAAGTACATAGATTTGAATTGTATGAAAAGTTGAACAGTGGTGGATTGATGACAACAAGACCACATTTATATTTTTAATGCATTGCTACCACTTACCAAGACAAAGTCATGACAGTCTTTTGAAGTTATTACAATACTATACATTTGACAAAAACACAATTTATGGTTTTTGATCTGCCACGTTCACTGTGTATGTGTGGGTGCTGGACAGTTTTGTGCTGTACACCATAGATTTTCTTTCTGGCTTAACAGTTCGAGTCAATGAAACACTCCCTGAAAATGTAAGTATCCAGTGGATATATATGTATTTTTTTTATTTGACAGGTGATCCAACCAACTACTGGAGAAGTAATTTTTGACTGTTTTCGGGACTCAGCGTCTCGCTCAGAATTGGAGAGTCGAGTTTTGCGCCTGCAGCCAGTTGAAATAATTCTTCCATCCAGGTTGTCAGATCAATCTGAAAAGCTCATCAGCAGTATAACCTCCAGGAGGTAAGTTTTGAAGGGATTTTGTGTTTGAGGCTTTTTTATTTTTTAGATACAGCACACCTATTGATAGAGTTTAGATCCAGAAGCAGGTATAGATGTGTAGTTCTGTAGAGGCTCATTTCAGAATGGCTGTAGTTTGCTGCTGGGTTGAAAATCTCCCAAATCTCTCTTATTCTTAAATTGTACTTAAATTTGTGGCTTCTCTCTCTGGCCTGTGAAAGATTCATGTGCCTAAAAGTGGTCATTTAGATAGTCTTGCTACCACACTCCTGATCATAGAATCTGTTGGAATAATTTCCAAGCTTATGCACTTACCTTTGGCTTCTGAAAAAAGTGGTTTTTTCTTTTTGTTTCTATTAATGTAAATAGGTATAGAAAATCTTTGCAACTGGTATTTGATTCTATTTCTCCTATTACACTGACTTGAACTTGGGTACAGACTTGGGAATGTTGTGACTGATTATCTGCTTATGTTTTGAGTTGTCTTTCTGTATTTCAAGAGGAAATTTGTTACCTATTTTCTGTATCAGTTTTACTGTGTAATAAAGCCAGAAGAGGATATAATTGGTAGGGTGATAGATTAAGGATGAAGCAATCCTCTGAACAGGGGGGTAGGCTTGTGAAATCTTGCAGATGCAATTTTTGTGAGAAAATATCAGTTTTTCTTTTTCTTTTTTTTTTTTTAAACCATGCAGGCTTGGGCTGTAGAGAGCTAGCTCAGAGCTTGCTGTTTCAGTAATCGTTGTGATGCAGGTTTGGGAGAGTGGCTGTATCTTTTTTTTTTTTTCTCCTGGTTACGTACAGTTGAAAATGTTTGTGAGTAGCTTCTCATTTTTATGAAGATCCAAAAATAATACCCATTAGCTGATTCTGTGAATAGATATTAGCTTGTATAATTTTTTGCCTTTCTGGTAATTTACTAGGCAGCTTTCCAGCCTAAATGTTCTTAATTACAGGAGAGTGACAAAAATAAAAGACAGTATTGCAGTACACTTCAGTAGGCTTATTTCAAAAACAATTCTTCATGAATTTTCTTGTACCAAAGATGAAACCACTAGAGGGCTCTGAAGTATTTAGTATTATTTTAAGTGGTTCCAATATGCTGCTTTCCTGTGCTTTTAACTGGGCTTCAGTTTTAATACAGTTGCTTTTACACAGGCAGGAATTTCATTTTAATGCATATTGAGAGGTCTGAAGTATTCAGGTTTGGTTGTTGGCCCATTAGCTGGTAATTTCAGTCTTTGTCTGCTCTTTTTTAAAAACTCCTGGGAAAAGTTTCATTTCTATAATGTTTTGAAGACCTTTCTGACTAAAACCATGGAAACCAGGTCTTGTGATTCAAGAAGGCTCCTCATCTCTTTGTGTATGAGTAATGCAGTGGAAAAACAGTGAATTTTTAAAAACACAAAGGGCACAGATGGGAGAGAAAAATAGTCCCATGAGGAAGAGCTTGGAGAGATTGAGGAGAGAGAAGGGTCTTTGTTGTGTGAGAATTGCACAAGCGGTTGTGTGGGTAACTTGGGGGTGGTTTGGTGTTCGAACTTGGCACTGAGCAGCCACGGTGATGTGGGCTGGGTACAAAGACCACGTGTGAATATTCTGTACTGGTTGTGTGTCTGCCTTAAGTCTGCACAGTACAGTGTGTAATTCTTGCTTATGGAATGCTGTGCTTTTCTCTTCCTGTTACTGCAACTGTATCCAGGTTTAGCTGTGTCACTCACACTGTTCACTGGTGCTTCTGTTCTGGTGTTGTGTTCATTTTCACTGCCAAATTTACAGCAAAGAAAGAAAAAACAGCTGAGTGGAGGATTCTGCTGTTCTAAATCTGTTTTTATCAAAAACAAGAGCCAAATAAGTTGCTAGAAGTTTTCCATGTCTAAAGCTGATGACATTAATGAGGACTAAGTGAAGGCAAATGCTGCTGTAGTAAGATCACGTAGCTCCTTGTAGGATTTGTTCATAAAATGGAGTTTTAGTTCAGTTAGTATGAAGCCAGGTTAGTTAAAGTGGATAAATGGGTAATTTTACCACTGATTTAAATGAAGTTAGACCCAAACATCTTTTTGTAAAGACTTTTTTGTAGCCATTTGGATTAAATGGGAGTTTGCCAACCTAAGCAGGCTTTAGGAATAGTTTAACTTATGGTGTAGATTCATATTACAAGCTAGAAACTTTTCGTAATTTAAAACTTGTTGGAAGCAAATGTATCGAAGTGTGTCATGGTTCCATGCTGGTTTGATTCTCACACTTTGCTGTTTCATGTGGTAAAGTAAATGCTCCTACTTACCAGTGTCGTGACATTGTCCATAAAAGTTAATAACTAGAAGATACTATTGAGGGGCAGATTTAATGAACTCAAAAGTACTAATCAAGGATACTGAACAGGAGGTCAGCTTTGATGCAGAGCCTTCCTTCAAAAGCAAAGTATAAATTAAATGTACATTGCAGAAACTGGCTCAGGACAAACTGTTCTATTTGCAAATGCTGACCTGCCTGGAGGAAAATATTTTAGTGTTTTTAGCTTCCTTCTTTCTAGAAAAACAAGAAAAAAGTCTTACCTTCAGAAAATATATATATTTTTACAGAAGAACACTGTGTTTTGTACTCCAAGTTCTTCCTAGTCAAGGGGGCACCCACCCTCCTTAACATGTTGGCTACTTTAGAACTTCACCTGTGCTGATCTTCCTGACAGTGTCTTTGAGGTTCCTTTTGGTTATTTTTTCTCTTCTCATGTGCCCCTTTTTTGTTTCATTGAAAAATCAGTGCATCTTAAGAGTGCTCCGTTGCTCCTCTTTTTCTATTTTTTTTCCATTTGCCCCTGTTTATGAAATGTTTTATTCTGTGGTGTTCTTGGCTACTGTGTAAAACCACACTGATCAACAGTCCTTCGCTTTTAATCCAGAGCGTTTCACCCCATTCTGCACTGTTCTGGTTTTTTTACATCTTTTTTGATGTCTGGCCAACAATCTTAAACCAGGGTGATCTGACAACTGACCTATTGTCTGTGTGGTCTCTCATAGAGAGTGCTATCCATTTCTAATTGCTCTCATGGATGAAGTTGTGGATTTATGTCCTCAGTCAAGGAGTAGAAACTCTACTGGAATGAACTCACTGAAGTCTTGTAAATGAGTATAAAATGCTTTTAATTTTGTGGATCTTTGTATGTGGCTGGTGGTTGCTCAGATCAGAGAGTGCATTCATGTAGTTGATGCTGAGGAGGTATTTTTTTTGTAGGTGAGCAGGGACGGGAAGGCTTGTAGTGGCAAAAACAAGACACCAAAGGGTTACAGTGAGAGTGAACACTATTGCAAATTAAATTGCAGAGCAGAGGACTGAAGAATACCTAAAGGGTTGGCAATCATAAAAACTAGTGGTTTCATGGTTTTATAGCTTGTAATATTCCCATGGATTTTTAAGTGAAAGGCATGCTGTGACAAACATCTTGAGAATGTTTTATGTAAGTGGAAGCCACAAGCAGTTTGCAGCAGGAAATAAAGAAGGCAAGTAAAGTACAAAACCAGCATGTGAACTATTTTCTGCAAATACAAAACCCAAGTGCATCAGTGAACAGATGTTTACTTGCTAAGGAGGCATTTTACTCTGCTAGGAATCCAATTCATGGCCTGGGCAACCCAGCTGTGGGGAAGCTGCCTGGAGAGTATTGATCGGGTCATAGCTCACTCCTTTTGAACAGACAGGGCAAAAAACTCCACACCAGTATTATCACCTCATGTAATGACCCAGCAGAACTGTTGGATGGGTTGGGGTTTTTTTTCAGTTTAATGCTGTTGCAGTCATGAAAAATGATGTTCTCAGTACTGGAGTTGATTCTTGTTTTCTATGGCACTGCAGGTGAGGGAAGCATGGGGCTTAAATCTCATTCAACAAATGGCTCATGGGTAAAGTTGTATTTTCCGTGGTGTCTAACTGCCCTTCACAGTTTGGGGCACAGCACAGGCACATGGCATCCTTTAGGTGGAATTATTGTCCCACTGTGCATGCAGAGTTGTTGCTACAGAAACACACAGAGGCAGTTGCAAAGCCCTGTGATTTTCTTATCCCGGATGATAAATTACATTAAAAAAAAGTTAACATTGCTTTTTACAGCAGCAGCTGGCCTTTGCAGGCCTTGTCTTGCCCAAATCCCCTGAGGGAAAAGCAAAGATGTGTGCCCTGATCAGCTTCCCCAGATTCTTTTCTGCTTCCAAGGTGCATTATTTTTCATGTGACTGCAAGTAGTATGGAAAACATGCTGTGTTCAGTAGCTGTGTTTGTGGCATTTTTGCACTGATTAGTGATATTCATGCATTTGGATTTCCCCCGCCCCACCACCAATTGAGCCAGAAATTATTAAATGAAGAATAAATTGGTTTGATGCCTGTCCAATTTCTTGCTATCAGAAAGTTAACTTTTTAATTAGGATCCCCACCTTACTAAAAGAAGCAGGAAAGGTAAAACTTCAAAGCTTTTGCTTTCATGTTTTGGCACCTATTTGATTTACTGTTATGGGATAGATCAGAAACTATGCAAGGTACATATGTAAGTAATCCTACTTTTTGTTGTCCTCTCTAGTTTTGATGTTACTTGTTTTTTTCCTCTCAGTATATATTCATATACTGTGACTTTTTACATAATCAAGTGGAGAAGGACTCTTAACCTCTTAAAACTGGCATGCAAGTTTAAATTTTTTTTTAATAGTCTGTGAATGTTTGTTGGCATATTTGTTAAATTCCTAGCATTTTTCTTTTTTTTAATAATACTTTTCCATAATTTATTCTTTGAAGCTGACTTGGGACATAAATCTTTCCCTGTGAAACTGTGGCACCATGGATACCTTGGATGTGTTACCTTCTCAGACACTACTTCCCACATTTCCTGCCCTCAATGTTAGTGCTAGGAGGTAGAAATTCAGCAGCTTTAATCAGAACAATGTTGTGATGTAAATGAGACAAGGAGGAGAGAGAGAAAGACTAAACTGTCTGCATGTTTGACATGCAGATAAG